TGCTATAAAGATAGGAAACTAGATAACAAGCTTAAATTCACTGTAGTTTAATGCCATTGGAATAATACCACAAATAAGCTTTAAAATATAAATACATTATTTAATGGAAAGAAAAAATATATTTTATAAAAAAAATAAAACTGGGGTGAATCATGACATGCAAGAAATAGCATAAAATAAGAATAATAAAAAGATATGTGAGGCCAAAAAAACTTGATATTATAGTTATTGGATGAATCTTGATTGCTACAAGCTTTTCTACCTCTCTTAAAAGCTTTCCAATCACAACAACAACAACAGAAGTTGTCCCATCACAAACCTTATCATTTTGAATTTTTGAGATGTTTGAATTTTGTATTAAGATTATAATCTAATAATATAAAAAAATTTCCCCTAAAACCAATGATTATGGTAGCATAGTTCATTGAACCATTTATAGTTCCATCATGTAGTTTTATTAACAAAAAAAAAAATCATCAAACTCATGCAAGTTTTAAAAATGTTGCAAAAAATAAACCATTTTACACATAAAGTGTAGTCAAGAAAATGAAAACCATTATAAGGATAGCAATTAAGACTTTTGCAGCTGGGTTGTTAATATGTAGGAACTTTAAGATGGTAGCTCCATCATTTGTAGCAGTGACTTCATATCCTCTATTTGTTGATTGTAAAATTTTATCCTGTTAGATAACTTCACCAACAATATAGTCAACGATTTAAAGTAGAGAAGAACTATTATTGGAGTCTTTTAATTTGTATACACAATGTGGAAAACTTATCATTCCCTTTGGCCCGAGGGTTGTCTTAACCAAGTCAATAATTGCAATTGCCCCAAACTAGACCTATAACTAACCTAATTTCCATTATCTAGAAACCCTATCTTGTTAACTAAAAGATCATGACTTTTTTCAATCAAATCCCACCCATCATAAACCCTATTCAAATCTCAAAACCTACATAGTTTGCCTTATAATTACCAACACTAAAAACCTATTTTTCCTTTACTGAGCTCAAATATATTTTTTTATTTTCATATGGTACTTCATGAAGAAACTGGTAGCATAGCCTATTTCTTCTTCTAAAAAATACTTATGGTTATCATATATTGAATGGGAGAAAGCAAAAAAATTTTGAAACTATGAAAAAGAGAAATGTGAGCAAAAAAAATAAAAGAGAAAGGAAATTTGTGGGAACTTGAGAATTAAGATTGTCGGTGTGATGGTAGAATGATAGTGCCATGGCAACAACGATCTTTTGGCAATGGGATGACGGTATAATGGCAATGACGATGACAAAAAGAGAACGATAGGGGGTTGAGAAAGAGAAAAGGTTTTGGGTTAGGGATTATGATGGGAAAATAAGAAAGGGATTTAGGGATTTTAATTTTATACAAGTTAACAAATTAGTTTCTTTTTTAAAAAATTTTTTTCCTATGCCAATTTGCCAACTTTCTGTGACAACATCACCTATATAATACCAATGGCTTTTTTTTTTATCAATAAATTTTGCTAGTATTCTGTTGATAAATACATAATAATTTTTTGTATGATCCATTGGTAAACCATTGACAATTTGTTGATAATTACCAATAAAAATTTTTCATTGTTAAAAATTCATCGATATTAAACAGTTTTCTAATAGTGTTAGATTAGGATTCTTAAATCATATTTGTCATGCTCCTATTAAAAAAAGATTGAATTGATTCAATGAGTTGATCAACAATCAATAAATTAACAATTCTATTTATATAGTAATAAAACTTGTTTAAACTATTTAAAATTATGTATACTGATTTATTTACAAAGCCTATTAAGGAGTATTTTTCACATAAATAACTTAAAATTTTTATTCTTAAATAAGGATAATTTTATTTTATTTTTCTAAATAAGGTATTCCAAACTACATCAATTATATGTCAATGCTTTTCTAGCCAAAATTACCACACGAATTTTTTTTTCTTTCATTTTTTTTTGCTCTTTTGACTAGGCCACCAACAAGGATCAACTTTATTCAACTAAACACTAGATTTTACCCCTTTTTTTTTATTATTTTGCATCTAAGTAATCATCCAATGAGGTATTGTTGTCTCTTTTATTTTTAGTGATCATGTTAAAGAGGGTTGTTACAGTTCATAGTTAAATTTTCATTAAAATCTGCATTTGAAATCAACCCATTGCCTATAGTGACTGCCACTTTGCTTCTTTAGCTTTTAGAAGTCTAAACAGTAATGTCAACAAAAATTTCTTAAATTATAATAAAATATTTAATATAATATTTAAATTTTAAAATTTTTTAGAAAATAGCAACTTTAATCTCTAAACTTTAATCCAAATTCTACTTTGGTCCTTAAAATTTAAAAAATTAAATCGGATCCCTAATTACTCAAAGCTGTCCTATTCTTATGTTTCCATGAAACCATTTAAATTGACGATAAATGTCAGCTAGCACTATGTGATGACATCAGTTAGCAACTCACATTGCAGATAAAGGATCAAAATATAATTCTCTCAAAGTTTAGGGACAAAAGCAAAACTATTTTAAAATTTTATATATTTCATACATGTATTATAAAAATATTATATTTATATTTGGATTTTTTTATAATATAAATTATTAAATATATATTTGTTTTAAATAGAAAATATATATTCAAAAATTAAAATTAAGTTAAAATTTTCAATTCCTTTTTTAAAAATTTAATACATTTTAAAAACAAAAAAATTATTTTTACTAAAAATATTATTTTATTCATAGGTCATAATAAAACTTATTATTTTCTATCCAAATTTTTTTTTAAATATTAAATATCTTTTATTTTTTCTTTTTAAATATATTTTATAAAATATGTTTTATAAAAAAGAAAAAAGAAAAAATGCTTTAAATTATATTTTTATTTTATATGAATATAAAGCTTTTATATTTTTGAATAGATTTTGAAAATGATCTAAAAATTTTTACATAATATTTTAACATGATGTAGAGTTTTTATTTAATGTTTTAAATCAATATAAAAATTTTTACTTACTTTTTAAAAATGATATGTAATTTTAATAAAATGAATTTGAAATTTTCAACTTAATTTAAATTTTTAAAAATCTATTTTCTATTAAAAATATTATTTTATTAATAAATCATATCATAATAAAATTTACAATTTAAACTATAATATATTTATGACATATATTTGAAATATATAAAAATCAATTTTTTCTTGAATTAGTTTTTATCTTTTCCTTTATTTATTTTTTATAAATATATTTGAAAGGGGAAAATTAAAGATATTTAATATTTTATTGATATTTTATTAAGTTTTATCTTTTCCTTTATTTAAGATTATTTTAGTAATAAATCATATCATAATAAAAATTAAAAAATATTTTAAATTATAATATTTTATAAAATATATTTGAAATATATGAAAATCAATTTTTTCTTGAATCATTTTTATCTTTTCCTTTATTTGCTTTTTGTAAATATCTTTGAAAGAGGAAAATTAAAGATATTTAATATTGTACAATATATATTTGATGGATAGAAAATAATATTTTTGTTATGGTTTATGAGTAAAATAATATTTCTAATAGAAAGTAATTTTTTGTTTTTAAAATGATGTTGAATTCTTATAATTTTAAATTTAATGTTTTATAAAATGTATATGAAATTTATAAAATTTTTGAGATAGTTTCACCTTTGATCCCTAAATTTTGAGAAAATTTTATTTTGATCCCTTATTTTACTATATAAGATGCTAACTGACGTCATATTATGGTGTTAGCTAGTATTTGCAGTTCATTTATATGATTTCATAAATGGAAGGATTAAAATAGGACAATGTTGGGTAATTAGATATCCAATTAGAATTTTTTAAAGTTTAGAGATCGAAATAAATTTGAGTCAAAATTTATGGACTGTAGGTGCATTAATTTAAAATTTTTTAATATGATATTTATGTTATAGGTCTCTTAATTAACGTAGTACTTGAAAATTTATTTATCAATTACATGTTATCATTTGAAGTTAATCATATTAAAGATGAATGTCACTTTAATTAATAGATTTATAATTAAGATATCATATTATATATTTTTAAAATTCAAATATCATATTAAATATTTTACTATATTTTAAGGATTACTGATAACATTAATCCGAACCATGAGAACAAGGTTAGAACCATGCTTAGGCTTTGTCTAGGAACATATATGAATTGGAGATTCCATTTTCTTTTTCTAGAAAGTTTTTTAAAAAAATGGGTGTAGAGAATATTATGTAAGCTTTTTGGGTTTGAAAGATGAGAGTGAGTGAGGTGAGTATGTGAATTAGATGATATCAATGATAATGAGCTATTGAAAGTAGTCATTGCTAGGATTGTTGCTACAATATACTTCCATTGTTAATGTAAACGTTTGCTTTGAATAAAAGGAAGAAATGGTTTTTGAATTTAAGCATTTGCATATTTATGTTGTTTTATGAGAAAAAGAATTTGTAAATTGATATTTTCAGATTTTATTTTTATAATTGATCTAAATTATTTTGTATAAAAATGAAATTTTAAATAAAAAAAATTCAGTTAATATAATAACTTTATTCACATAAACAGTGATACTACGATAATATGGTTTAATTACCTTGTTCACGAAAAAATTTGAAAAAAAAAAAAAATCTTCATACTAGAATAAAGATTTCATTCATACTTTGGTGGGGGTAAAAACTCAAGATTTGGATTCTTTTTTATTTTGATTTTTGTTTAATCATTTTGGCAGAGAATGGCAGCTTAAGCTAATTCTTTCCCTCTTCAATCACCCCCAAGCATCAACCGACAACCCACTTTTCTCTTTTTGTCCACCCCCTTTATTTTATAGTCTGCCATTTTTGAAGATTGGGTTAAAGATAATATATTTGAACTGTAATATTCCCGTAATCCAACTCGGTCTTATCATATGCAGAACGAAAGAAAAAAATAATTTTGCAATCAGCCGAAACTATTTCGTGTCGGCCAGGGATAAATATTCTGGGTTTTGATAAATCACATACACAAGCATTTTCATTTAGCCAAAAGCTGCATTTTCATTTACAACAAATGAGGGTAACTTGAGAACATCCTTGTAAAATGACCATATACATTGAGCCACACACCTTGATTCCCGTCAAAATTTAATGGATATATATAAAGTATAAAGAGCATTAATTAACCTGCTCTCCACTTGCTTGGCGTTGCTTCTCTTCTTCAACTTGTTCAAGCAATGCCTCCAGCTCAGCTTCTGTCAATCCTTCCAAGCGTTTCTGCATAACAGAATAGAAGATCAATTTTTGGGGTCAACGGAGTCGGATATCGGGATCCTAAACTCAGTCAAACTATGATATATATATATACATATACACACACATATACATATACATATATGTATATGTATATGTATATGTATATGCATATGCCATATGCACATGCATATGCATATATGTATATATACATATATATATATATATATATACATATATGTTGAAAAGGAGATCTGGAAAGGACATGCATGCCGATTGGTATATGACCAGAAATTGAAGCCAATTTCTTCTTTTTTTTCTTCTAACTATCTCGACTAAGTAATAGGCTAGATACATATGACAGACCCCTCTTCTATTCCATCTCGGTGTGGTTCAGGGCCTACAATGGTGCCACTAGTACTAAGCATTATACATTTTCCAACTCGTTGAAGAGGTGAAGTTGTTATTTAGACTGCACATTGCGGCTGTGATGTGGAAACAAAAATCAGAATGTTTTGAAGTGAAATTTCACTGGTCTAGTTAAACCAATTATGAATAAATCATACATAACACCAAGATTCTCCAACCCAGTTTGGAGCCATCTGACATGGCAATTTCATAGCATCTGCTTCAAACGAACAGATCCTCCATTAATAAACAATCTAAGATAAATCTATCATTGTAAAAATGAAAAGAACCTAATTTACTGTGTGGTTGCATTGATAATTTTACCATACCCAAAAGGCTACGTAGTTCTGAAACACTATAAAGAAATAAAACACCTTTGTTGCAGTTTAAGAGTAAAGCAAGGTGGCAACCAGTAGAGCACCAATTTGGAAGATAGTCAAAAAATTGGAAGAAAAAAGTGCGGAAATATAAACCTGCATGACTTTAACTTCATAGTCACGTAATTGTTGAGCATATGTCATTTCCTTGTTTGAGACTCTAAAGATGTATGTTGAAATCCATCCAACCGTAAGGCCCAAAACCATTACCAACTGAACTACGTTTCCTGCTTGTAGAGGATCAACTCCAGCAAACTGCATAAACATTGTCAAGGGATTCTTATCAAACAAAATTGCTCAATAAACCATCTCAATGCATAGTACTCATAATTCATATTATGAATTTTACAAAAACTTGAGAAGATAAAGCGGAAAACAGCATGTCTAATTTTGTTGTAAAACACGAAATAGTAATGACTTTCATTAATGAATTAATCAAATATAGCTTCACATATCTGTCACAAGGTATTGGATTATGTTATTCCAAGAATAAAGAATAAAAATAAGCATGCATGTAACAACAAAAGTGACCAAAGTTAAGAGCAAAAAATAAGAATAAATATCACAAGCAGACCCAGATACCTCCAATCCACTTTTCAAGCCAACCCCAGCAAGAGTGACTCCAAGACCAATCAATAAAACATCCTTCCTTGTGTATCCAAAAGGCGTCTGCCCAAGAACAAGAAAGATATGACTTCAGCATCCAGGTCAACAAGATCAACCCATAATGAAAGTCGAGTGGGTACTTAAGGAATTGCACATTAGATTCTACAAGCATATTTATTTGAAGGAGAAAGTGATCAATCCTTTTGCTTAAGTTGGGTCATCAGGTGTTTCTGATTTGTTATTAATAGCCTGACAGATTCATTGTTTAAAAAGCTGCTTCCCTCTTTTAAATTTTTAAGGGCTAAAGGTTTCAACTAATCAGATCCAATACAATTTATGTAAAGCTACCGAGTCTTCTTCCTACATTTGTAGATCTAAAATCAGAAGACAATATATATATATATATATATATTGCTAATCCCAGTGCATATTACAAAACCTTTCTCTTTGCTTGTTAGAGAAGCCAGAGGCAGACTTTACATGCATGATACAGAAAAAGATATCCATTGAGCTCATTTTACAGCAGTACAAAGTGCATGCCTTGGTTTGATCTTTACTATCATTGGAGTTTGAGGAACGGCTACATCTGGGAGCAATGGAGATCTGTTTCTTTGACCTTGTGTTGTTCAAACCATTTTGCAGAAATAGAGTGGTTCTCTTTTTATACAAGATCTGAGATACAGCAGTACCTAAGAAATTTGACCAAAAAGAACTACAATCAAATAAAGCATTACAAGGTTTTCTTTATTTATAACAAGAAAAGAAATTTCCGTAGCAGGCCCTTTCATTGACATTGAAAAGAACTCCAGAAAATAAAGGGAACTTCTTTATGTTCCTCACAAAAACAGAGGACTTTGGTAAAATGCTTCCTACGGTTCCCAAGGTTATAATTAATGTTTCATATGGAAAAATGGAAAAAGAATAAGTTATGAACCATGTAAAACTGAGTCTTCATCAAGCCATTTAAGAAAATTGCATTTGCTATAGCTGCTTGGGTCAAATAAGTTCATGCGCACACACACAAATTTACACAAACACACTTTTACTTTAATCATAATCATATATGTGTGTGTAACAAATAAAACTTGATGAATAGCACTGCTTAAAGATAAATCCATTATCTTTACGAAAGGAAGAAAAAACAAAGAAATAAAGAAGGATAAAACTGGTACACGCATTGTAAACTTGGTGGAAGAACAAATATTTTAGCATTGATGTTTCACAGTTTCAAGGTGCAACCATAATCCAAGGAATGACAATTGGTAGCAAATTTCGACAAATTTCTATCAACTGATAAACTAGCTTTTGTTCAGCTGATACTTCTAGCAGAGTTAATGTTTCCATAAAGATCTCTTTTGCAGCCAAGTTTTGCATTGTTCATCAAAATTTGCAGTGTCACATAATACTTCAAGTCAAAGGTTCAATAAAGCACGTTTCAAAGATGTTTTAGCATATAATGTAACATCAACTAATAATATAGGCAGAGAGGCCAGCCTAAATACTGAACAAAAGGTTAGAAAGAAGTTCTAATGGATTTGGGGTAATATTAGGTCTGCAAAAACCAATGAAACGTAGAAATATCGTCACAAGCACAAAGAGATATGATATTACATGCGTTAATTTTTTTTACCGCATAATAAACTCATATAAATTATGTCAAATAGACAAGTAAGCTAATACAATAAGCACAAATTTAAAAAAGAGAAGCCTAACATAAAAATTTTCAGTTTAGGTTCAGCATGACAAATTTTGATTGTAATTTTTACAATTGAGGTGTTGTAGCATGTTTGATTCTACGCAAGATGTCAATTTTATGATTATTTCTGCACAAGTTTAAATTAGAACCCAACTTTTGAACGGTAAAGTATACAAATAATTTAAATAGTTATAAACTCAAATGATATTTTAAAACTTTTGTTGTTGTTTATTTAAGTAAAATAGCTAAACTTAAAACACTTACAGAGAACATATTAATTTTACATGTAGTTAAGTAAAAAATCTAAACAAACAAAATTTTATATAATTAATATTGTTATGGGTATTTACCTATTACTTAGCTAATTAGTGAGAATTGCGTAACTGTTTTTTAACTCTAAAAAATATATTTAATTTTTGGGGCGAAATTATAATTTTAAACTCGTTTAAAATCAAATTCCTTATAAATATAACAATATAAAAAAAAAAATCATATGAGAAAAAGAAATTTAGGAACTTTTGGGGCAAATCCCAAACAATCAATTTAAATAAGCAACTTATAATAGTCCAACAAAATATTTGTTACTGGAAATAGAATACAGCATGGTTCCAATTAAAAGCAAAAGAAGATACATAGTGCAAAAGCTGGAGAATTGGGTTAAGCAAAAGAATTTTACCACGCATCAAAGAAGCAGAAGCTGATCTCGTCGGCGGTTGCAGGGATGGAAAAGCCGAAATGCCCAGCAAAGAAATGGGCTCATTTTTGGGTAAAAGACCATGCAGAAGAGAAGGCATATCCACAGTATTCTTTTTCGGAGGAAAAACAAAAATAAATAAATAAATAAAACAACTGAAACTCAAGTGAGCAGTGTCATTCGACGACGAGAAAGCGGGTGGCTAACGTTTATCTGTTTGTTTTATGATCCATTCGTCAGTCGAGGACGCACGTGCATGCCACGTGAAATATTCTCCTAAAATAAATGGAAAATATTAAATCGGATCATTTTTTATACATCAAGTTTTATGATATTAAAAGAAAAAATTTTAAAACAATAAATTTTTAATTTTTAATAAAAATCATATAAAATTAATAAAATTAAAAAATATATATCAATATTAATTATGATATAATAATTTTTATATTTTATATATATTTTAAAAAAATTAATTAATTAATTATTATGATTCAAGGACAGTCATCCAATCAACGCCTCTCAAATGCTCAAGATTTTACAAAGTCACATACTTCAGATTTTTGCAACTCATAATCGGTAACTTGCAAGTTGTATGTATGGCTTCATGTGTGAATAATACAAAAGTCTGAGTGTCCAAAGGAAGTAGAAAACAAAGCATGCTCTTGTTTTTTTTTTTGAACGTTAACCATGTCACTATCCCAATTTCACCTAATAAAAATGTGAAAAACAAAGAAATATTAGTATTTTTTTAAGGGTTTATAATGACCCTTTTTTTAATATTATTTTTTTTCTTTTACTTTGATTTAGATTTTAAGATGCATAATTTAGTGTTTACAATTTTGAAAACTATTTTTAACTTTTAATTCAGGTCTACGGGCATGGCAGCTTGTTAGAATCGCATGCCTGATCCGATTGAGGCTGGTCTTTGGATAGGAATTTCTATGCTTGGACTTGAACAAATTCATCTCAAGATATTATTTAACTAGTAAAAAATATTTTTATTTAATTTTATTTTTGAAATATATTTTTAAATATTAAAACATATATATAAATAATATTTTTCATTATTATTTTTTTGGAATAGTGTAGGGCATATTGAGATCTGACTAGACCAAACCGCACCTTGGGTAAGGTTTTTAAAGGGTTAATCCAGTCTGATTTGAGCTAACTCTGTCAATGAACGCTTCTAAATTTATAGTTTGAGTGAGATTACGTAAATGTATTAATTTAGTTCTAAAATTTTTATATAGGTTTTGTTTGTTTGGTTTTGTTTATTAGTTTTTTTTTTTATACTAGATTATATAATTATATTACATATTAAGAATTATTTTATTATATTGGTAATTATACTTGTGAATATAATATCAATAAACAATTGTGTCTTTTTTTTTTCGTGTAGAACCTTTTAATTCTACTAGTATTTGTTGTAACATGCATTGCACGTTAATATTTATTTTTATTATTAAAATAATAATTATGTATAGCATAAAATATTTCTAGTGCTTAATATTTGCAATATAAATAATTAAATATGCATTATTAATTTATAAATTATTCAATACTATTAAAATTAAAAAAACTATTTTTTAATGAAAGTCATTAAATGTAACTAGAATTTTTCCCGCAACACCATTGCCAAGAAAAAATTTTATCATTTGAATAATATTTTGTTTCAGAAATATCTACACTTTTTCTACAAATTTTAATACATAAACTAAAACTAGAATAGCATGAAATCATTTTCCACATTACTTATATGTATTAGTAATTAACATTAATTAAATATATTTATTTTTTATTATATTAATTACATTATTATTAATATAACCGGTTAAATTTTTCAAGAGTTTACTTTTTATATATAGTAATAGAATAAAGTGTGTGATTAAAGATGAAATTAGAACTTAAATATTTTGTTAAATGATAAGCATATGTATCTATTTATCAAAGAGTTAATTTTTAATTTTTATAATAAAAAATATATTTAATAAAAAAAAATTAAGCATGAATATGATTTCCTTGCATATCATTTCTCACAAGATGAATATGGACAAATAAAATAAGTAAACATTTCAAATATATTCTTTAATCTAGAATATAATTTTTATATTTCACATTTTTCACTTTCATTTCCTTCTTTTCTGAAATTATAAAATAATAGTATGAAATAAGTTATTTTTTAAAAAAAATGACAAAAAATACATTAATTGATTAGCATTAATCATATAAATTTTTTATTTTTTACTCTCATGAAATTAATAGTTAATTGACAGACTTTTTATTTAAAAATTCATTTAAGATTTTATCAATTTTATAATAATTAAGTATTGTAAATATATTATTAATCATATATTTATTTGTTTATTTAAGGTTATATTTTTGTCACATTTTTATTTAATAAAATTATTTTTAGGTCATGTTATTGTTTCTCTTGTTTCTTTTCTTTCTTTCTTTTTTCATTTTTTTTTACTTCAATTAATGGATTAAGAAAGGTTAGGGCTTTTAGTAAGGATTAAGGCCTTAATTGGTTGATAAATAAATAAACAAAAAAAAATAAAATCACTCAAGTAGTCCCTCAATTAGGCATTAAAACACTATTCTAGTGAAAAGACTAATCTTTTTAAGTCAAATTTATTAAAACAACAAAAAGTTTACAAAGCTAGCAAGCAGAGATCCAATACGATATATTACTAGGTGTAATAAGAAACATCTAATTGAGAACAATAGAAGAAACCTCGTGGCAGCTAGATATTGCACACTAAGATCAAACAAACTAACGGAAAAAATAGCAATGGGACAAAGCACAATTTCATGACCACTTTTAAAGAAACTATAGGTAATGATCCAGCTTTGTGATATCATGACGCAGCCCAACACACCAAAGGATTCTACGCAACTCCAAAAGTTAACCATAAGGTACGAATTGTTTACTTTCTTAGAGTAAGTAATATAGATTATGGGTAATCTTGTATTGTGCAGTTTAAAATTATATATGAATTGTAAACATTCATATGTGTCGAGGTCAATTTTTGTTATTGTTCTTTATTATTATTTGTTATTATTATGGTATAATATGCTATTTTATATTATTATTATTATTATTATAATAGTATAGTGTATTATTATGGTATAATATTATATTATGATATAATATTTTATTGTATGTTATTATTATTATTATAATTTGTTATTATTATTTATTTCTTTTCGATTTTCTTTTCTAACTAACGATCAAAGAAACAAAAATTAGGAATTGAATTCGGTTATAGAGTCTATTAGAACCCAAATTAAGGGATTTTTAATCAATCCAAGAAATTAACAATGAACCTAGACTTAAATTAAGGTTCAGGTAGAATCCAATCTCAAGATTCAAATATGAGATTGATTCTGTTCATTTTCTAAATTTTGTTCTAAGAATGCCTATATAATTGAATGTTGGATCAAAGAAACAGACAAGATTGCTAGAAGGGGAAGAAAAGCTTTGGAAATATTTTGGGTTTTGGTTTCAGTTGCTGGAATTTTTTGGGTTTTGGAATTTTGGATTTGAATTTTTGGGATTCGATTTAAGGTTTCTGGGTTAGATTTAGGTTTTTGGGGTTTGGATTAGGATTCTAGAAGGTTTTTGAAGAAATTTAGGCAAATCTAGAAAATTTTGAAAATTTTGGGTTTTTTCTAAAAAAATTTGGATTTTGGATGAATTTTCCTATGAAAGATGAATTTTTTTATTGAATTTTTCAACGGGGTTTGAATTTTCTAATGGGATTTTGGTGACTTTTCTAAAAACCGTTGGTTTTTCAATTTTCGGTTGAATATTATGGTGACTTTTTTAGAAACCGGTGAGTTTTCTTAATTTTCAGTTAAATCTCCAACAGTGTTCTTGGCTGGATTTTAGAGAGAATAGACATAGAATTAGTTTTAGAGAGAAAGGGAGCAAAAAGCATCTGAGGCGTAATGCTGAAAATGTGGCTTTTATATGATGCCAAAACAAGGTTATTTTGGATAGTACAAGATCTACGCGTGATCCGTTGACCCTCGTGTTGATCGACATTTTGACTTAATTCGAATATCAGGTTTCCTTTTTCCATTTTCATTTTATTTTTTGATTTTTTGATTTCATTCTTTTAAGTTTTTATTTTTATTTTTTAGTTTTTATTTATTTGCATTTAGTAACTCAATATTTATTAAAAAAAAAGAATCTTTTCCTTTTGGAAAACAAAAAGAATAATAAATAAATAAATAAAATCTTTTCAAATAAGTTTAAAAGACCAAACAAAAATTAATAAAGAAAAAAAATCTTTTTTCAAACAAAAATCTTTACAAAATAAATTTATGATTTCTACCAAACTATTGGATAATTTTTCATGAATTTAAACTTTATGGAATCCACCAAACTATTAAAAAATTTCATAAATCAATTTTTCAAAAAAATAAAAAAAATAATTTTATCCTTTAAACGATTGAAGAATTGATTTTTATTTCCTTAATGAAGTGCAAAGCCAATATCGACGAGCTATGGGTTCTTTTCTCAATAGTTCTAGACTTTTTATGGATGTAATATTAGATTTGGTTAAAAGTAACTTTTAATTCAATAAAGATTTTCTTTGATAACAATTGCTATATGGTAAATTCACCTTATTACATTCATGCATTTTATTTCTACATTCATTCTCATACCTAATTTAAAGGTTCCATAAGCATCATCTTAAATTTGCATATTATGAAAATCAAGGTTCTAGGATAGCTCAACACCAGTATTATACCTAGGCTAAAGCCAAAAAAATGAAGCAGATAATGCTGATCATCTCAAAAGGATAGAAAAGGCCTAGAAAATACTTGAGAAAAAATTAAGCAAGATTCTAAATGTTCTAGAAAAGATAAACAAAGGAAAAGAGGTGGAAAAAGATAATTCGCATGAAGTTACTGAACCACCATATCCATTAAGTTTTGGTCTATATCAGCCCAAACCACTCTAAGTCTTCAGCCATAGTAGACCATATTCATGAATTATAGAATGCCTTATACACCCGATCAAGGAAATGTTCAAGTTATATAAATCCTGTCTTCATTGAAAAAGTAAAGGAGCCCATTCAAATCCCCAAACCGAATGAGGTAAAAGAAGAAGTGAAGTTGCATACAGCTACACCCTTAAAAGATTTAAAGACTGATCAAGCCATAACCATGATTGAGGAAAGGCTATGAGCTGTGGATAACATTAATTTCTATCGCTTCATGGATGCTGTCAACCTTTGTTTGGTGCCAAATTTGACTATTCTT